TTTTCCCCCCCCCCCCACCCCGGTAGTTCCATAATTTGAACATTTGGGGTCTTGCTTTAATAGGACTAATTGTGATTCCTGTTATTTTTCAACAGCAGATGAAATAGAAAATTTGTCTTCTCTGCCACATCTGTGGACTTTTGTTGTGGTTTGGTGATGAGTTGGGGACACAGATGACTTTTAGAAGTTCCATTTTAAGAAGTTTTATCTTGATTTCCTGTCCTGTAGATCTTGCAAGATCCTTTAATAGGAATTAAGGAACAGTAGAGAGAGGCTCTTCCCAAGGCCATGGAGCAATGGGACAAGTGGGAATGGCCTAAAGCTGATGGAGGGGAGGTTTAGGTGGGATATTGGGAAGAAATTCATCCATGTGAGGGTGGTGGGACACTGGCATAGGGTGCCCAGGGAAGCTGTGCCAGGCAGGGACACCTTCCACTATCCCAGGGAGCTCCAATCCCTGTCCAGCCTGGCCTTGGACACTGCCAGGGATGGGGAAAATTGGTGCCATAACTCTTTAAACTTTTAAAATCTGTTTCCTATATATAAATGTCATCTGCCACCAGTTCTGCACAGACATGGGCATGAGCAGAAATCCAGGAACTGAGTATCCAGCCCACCTGAGCTGAATTTATTTGCACCTGCAAAAGGTAGAAGTGAACTCCAGACTTGAGCTGAGAAACTGAAGTTCTCCAGCAATAAATGTTTTAGATTCCTCAGTTATTCCTGGTGGGATGACTGTGCCCTGAAGTGAGGAGAGGCCCTGCATCAATTAAAGGTGATTTGTGGTGCTACAGAGCTTTTTTTGTTTGTTTTGTTGTTTGGGGTTTTTGGCTTTTTTCCTGTTTTGGTCTTACCTGCAGAGTTCTGAGAAATCAGGGTTACCTGGGAATGGTGCATTTAGGGCAGTGCTCTGTAAATCTGTGCTGCCTCTGTGTCTCTGTACCAACCAAAAATTAGATTCCATATCCAGAATGCTCTTTCAAGTCAGAACTTCCTCTACCTGAGGGGTAAGGATGGATGGGTGGACACTTTTACATTTGTGATGACACTAAAAATCCATTTTGAGCCAGCAAATGTTCTCCAGTTAATAATACAGCAGTGCAGTGGTAATTTGATCTATTTATTAGTGTTAATAGAGTGACCAGGATGGGAGAGCTGCTGTTGGAAGGTACCAGCTGCTGAAACAGGAACCCAGCCCTGACCTCTGGAGCTGCTCCTGCCAGGAATAGGAACCTGAACTCCCATGTGCTGGATAAATTCCAGAAATGTAATTTATAGCCTCATCTGGATGGGGGATTTTCTTCTGCCTAGCCTATTGTTGAGTTTTATTAAGCAGTTGTTGTTTAATAAGATTTTTTCATAAGGGATTTTTTTTCCTGTGTGATTTGGCTTTTTAAAGGCCTTGGGAGTTTCACACTCCAAGAGGTGCTAAAGAAACTTTTTATACTGTTTGAAAAATGTCCCCATTTCCCTCAGTGAACCTTTTCCATGAGGTGCCATCAGAACTTCTGTGGGAATGATGGGACTGTAGAGTCCTGGGTTGGTTTGGGCTGGGAGGGACCTTAAAGCCCATCTCATCCATCCTCTGCCCTGGGAAGGGACCCATTCCAAAGGCCAGGGTGCTCAGGTAAGAGAAACCAAGGAAAACTTGACCTGATTTCTCCTAAATATCCCTTGTCTACTCAGGTAGCTATTAAATAATATTTAGAAAATCTTCTACAAGAAATTCAGGAATAATGAAAGCATTTTGGACACACAAAGAACCAGTCCTAATACTTCTTGATCTTTTTTTCCCGTTTTGTTAATGGCTGAATCCTACGTTGTGTGTTTGAAGTTATTTTGCATCTCTTTTCAGAGCAGGGGCAATGTTTTCTTTTTCACTTTTGCTAAATCACCAGTTTAAGGATATTAAATTGTGAAGTGTGTTACATTATTAAATAATAAAATAAAACAGTAACAAGGCAGAGGTGCAGTGCTGGTGAGAAACGTCCCCTGGGTTGTTCTGATGATGGGATTTTGTAACTCTGAAAGTAGGGGCAGTAAGAGCTGAGATTGTCACTCTAGACCTTTACAACATTTAAAAAAGAGTTTACATTCAGGACTGAGTAGCCAAAAGCTTCTAAATCCTGGAGGTGAAACCCTTGGTAGCAACCTAGGCCTGCTGATATCTGAGTGCTGACTTCACCCACTGTGATTTTTGGAGAAAAAAGTTACCTAGGTGTCTCTGTAGAGGAAGGCAGAGGAATTGATGGTCTTTTGTTAAACTAATTTGGTATTTTACATTTGGGGGATCCTTTCTGTCTGCTTGGTACTTTCTCTAGTGAATGAGTTGCCTTCTTTCACTATCTGCGTGCTTCTGCAGGAGTTCTGGTGACTCTTGTTCTGCTTGTTTAGATAATCCAATAGGTCCTGTCAAAGATTGAACCTGTTTTAATCAGAATCTCTTCCTCAGCTGCTTTGGGGTCATTTTTTCCTGTCAGTCTACCTGATGCCTTAGGATTTAGGTTTTATATTTTCCAGATCTTGTAGTGCTTTAGTGTGCAACTCTAAAACTCCATAGCCTGGCAGCTGCTGTTCTCACATTTTATTCAGACAAAATTCCTCTCTAGGCCTGGGAATCAAGGTCACCTCACTGTCTCCAAAAGGTATAAACAAAAGTGAGTTGGGGGGAGCAAACTGGGGGTAAATGACTTCATTACCTGAAGCTGTAACTGGGGAATTCACCCCTGATATGTAAATAGACCTAACTTATAATTGTGTGAAGAACTCATGACCATTGTCCATCCTGGGTGCAGCCTCTGGCAGGCTTTGACTGCCCAAGGTGTCCCTGCTGAAGGCCTTTAACAAATCCCCACTTTTATTCTCTGAATCTTGCCCAACCTCTGCTCTAGGGAGCCACTCCAAGGCATCATACCTGATCAATATTTTTATTGATCTGAGGGATCGAGTGTTTTGTTGGTAAATAAAAAAAGTTTTTTATGGAAGGGGTGATAAAGTATGGGAATGGCCTGCCCTGGGAGGTGGTGGAGTTGATGCCTTAAGTTTTAGCTTTTATATTTCCCAGATTCTGCACTGCCTTGATGTGTGTGACTCTGAACTCCACATAAAGTGTCAGCAAGTTCTCCTCACAGCTCAGTCAGACACAACAACCCTTTTCCAGCCTGAGAACCAAGGGCACCGTTGCAGCTTCAGCCCCAAAAAGTATAAACAGCAAATTGAGGAGAGCAATCTGGGAGGATAGGACTGTATAACCTGAAATTGGATGATTAACCCCAATATGTAAATGGAGCAAAACTTAGAAAACTGGGAAAACTCATGAGCGGTGGTGCCTGGGGCCTCCATCGTCTTGGGGGGGCCTCCATCGTCTTGGGGGGCCTCCATCGTCTTGGGGGGCCTCCATCCATGCCCAAGGTGTATCCTTTGAAGGCCTCTTTAATAATTCCCTACTTTATTCCTTTAACACTGTCTGGCCTCTGCTCCAGGCAGCCTCTGTAGGCCTCAGAGTCACCATCCCTGGCTGTGTTTAAACACAGATTGGATGTGGCACTTGGTGCCGTGGTTCAGTTGAGGTGTTTGGGCACGGGTAGGACTTGAAGACCTCCAAGGTCTCTTCCAAGCTGATGGTTGTGGGATTGTGGTGTTTGTGCAGGTCCCGGTCCCGGGCCCGGCAGCGTTCCTACAGCCGCAGCAGCGAGAGGTCCGGCCACAGGAGAACCCCCAGCGGGTCCCGGGAGCACCGCAAGGGCAAGGACAGGGACAAGGACAAAGCCAAGGGCAAAGGGAAGGAGAAGGAGATTCATGGCACCAAGGCTGGGTAAGTGAAACAGCAAATGATGGAGCTGGAACAAAACTGGGCAGCAACTCAGTGCCTTTGTACTCTTGTAATAATTTTCCTTTAAATTGTAATAATTAAATGTAATAATTTCCTTTTTAAATTGTGTTTTATGTAAACTAAGAGGGAATTGTTTGGAATATTTGAAGATTTTTAGGGTTTTGCAGTTCTGCAGTGTGGCAACGTTTTGCACTAAGTGATGGTTTCATTTTCCACCCTTTCCCCCAGCTTGGTTTGAGGTGGGTTAAAGATTTGTTAATATAAACATTTGTTAATATAAACATTCTTCCCATATGTAGTAGCCATAATTTAGGGGGAAAATGAGGAATATTGGGAAGCATGCGGGCTTCTTCCTAGGAGAAGATGGATTTCACTGTTCACACACACCTACACCTGCTCCCAGAGGCAGAAGTTCCTCCTGGGCTTTGGTTGAGGGTCAAAAATGCATTTTCAGCACAAGCTTTGCTCTGGGCGAAGGATGGAAACCTTTGAGAAGCTGCTGTCAGTCCAGTTTCTGCTTGGAATAACTTGGATTGTTGATTACAGATTTCAGGAAAGACAATGTCATTTTTTTATATTTTATGTGATTTATGTAATTCCCTCTGGTTTATACCTCGGGCTCCTGTGCAGCCTTTCCTGGGCTGTTTGTCTTTTCCCTGTTGCTCTGATCCCTTCCAAACAAGAAAACATTGAGGTGTCACTTCGTGACCTTCCCTTGCGTGGATTCCCACTCAAAAACACTCCTGGGAAATTTCTAGAGCAGCATCTTCCACCCAAATGTGGGTTTCTGTTGGCTTCTGGAATTTTCCCTTTGTTCCCTGCAGCAGCAGGAAAATTCCTGCTTAAGTTGGATCCAGTTTGGACTCTCCAAGCAGTTTAATTTCTAGATCCAGAGTCTAGATCAGCACTGAAAGTCTCATTATTCTACAGAGCCCTTCCAGAACCTCCAGCATCAGGGAATCCTTAGTGCAAACAATGCTGTGACCTCAGTATTTGGAGCAGATCCTTCCTCAAAGGCACCTCAAGGACCAGGTCTGATTCCCAGTTGAAATTCATGGCTGTTTGGAATGTATTTATTCAAAATAGCTGCTTTGGAGCTGTAATGAAGATCAGCCTGAAGCCAGATTGTGGGAAGATGGAACATAAATTCTCAGGTGCTGCTTGACTTTATAGTTTAACTTTGCATAAAAGGAGGTATTTCAGCTTGGCAGCACTGCAGCTTGTCTGAGAGATGTTGTATATTTGGGGCTTTACTGCTCCTCTAAAGCACAGAATCAAAATGCCTTTTTTTTCACTAATTAAGCAGCAAATTTGTTTGTGGCTCCTGATGTCCTGATGATGATTTTTCTGTCCTTGGCTTGGGTGTGTTTGTAGATGTGAGGAGGAAAGGTCTGTGCTTGGGTTTTTTTTTGGGGGGCAGCTTTAGATTCTTTCAAGGGAGATCTTTTCATGGTAAATATCTCAAGAGAAATTTCAAAAGTAAAAAATAAAAAATATTAAAACAATAGTATTCTGGGCATTGTCCTCTGGCATTCCCCATTTCAGTGATGATTCTCTAACATTGAGCACTGAATTTCTGGACTGTTGGAGAAGAACCAGCTGTTCATGAGATGGGCTATGAAACAGCTCAACTCTTCTCTCACATCCTGAAATGTTTTAAGGGACGTTCCACTTGTCCAGGTATTATGGAGGGAAATTGTGGCAGCAGCTGCTTGGAGTGTGGGCTGGGAGCTCCAGGGAGTTCCTTCCACTCCCAAATCCCACATTTGCACCAGCAATATCTACATGCAGGAAGCTCTCAGCTGTCTAAAACATGAGGGGTTTTACAGTACCACAATGTTTTTCCACTATTTATTATTTTTTTTTACTAATCAAAGCACTGCATTCATCTTTTATTTATGCTTTTTGAAATTCTCTTGTTTTAAAACAGCCTGCATGCATGTCTTCATTGATCTGATTGGGTGTGCTGCTGAATTTTGATGGTTCAAGTCTTGATCAGCTTCAGAACATGCAAATTCTGTTGTTCTGAGATGTGTTTTTTGTAAGGCTCCTTGTTCATTGTTAAACTGGGGGGGGAAAGCTACTAAAAGCTTGTTAGTTTTAAATAACTTTTCCTAGATTTATGGGCCTCATTGTTGGTTGTGTATTAGTGGAATGTTGGATTACTTCTCCAAGTGATTTTGACAATTTTTAATGGAATAAATGAAGAGCAGCTCCTCAGTTGTTGAGAGAAGTGGTGAACCATGAATCAAACCTGACCACTGGTTTAATTGCTGATCCTTAATAAGGTTGTTGATATATTTGGGCATTAATGGTTTCACAGATCCTTAAATACTTTGACAGATCCCAGAATCCCAGAATGGTTTGGGTTGGAAAGATCTTAAATCCCATCTCCAGTCTCTTAAATCCCATCTCCAATCTCTGAAATTCCAGCTCCTGCCATGGGCATCTTCCATAGACCAAAGTGCTCTAGGAGGCCTTGGGCACATCCAGGGATCCACAGCTGCTCTGGGCACCCTGTGCCAGCCCTCCCCACCCTCCCAGGGAACAATTCCTGCCCAAAATCCCATCCATCCCTGCCCTCTGGCAGTGGGGAGCCGTTCCCTGTGTGCTGTCAGTGTCACAGAGCTGAGCAGTTTGTTGTTCAAACACAATCTCCATTTTTCCTTTCAATTCTGCACCAAAGTTTCACTGAGGTCCCCCTGTCTAGGGGGCCTTTTTCCAGTGGCATTTCCCCAAATCCCTTGGAGCTGGATCCATGCTCAGTGCCCCATGGATGGGATGATTGATGGCTGTCGATGAGATTTTTGCTATTGGCAGAAAACACGAGTAGTAAAGTGGGAATATTGGACTTTCCCAATCAGACTCTCCTGGAGCTTGGCACACGATTCTTTTCCCTTTCCTTCTTCCCAGCCTGTGCAGTAGGAAGTCATTTATGGTAATTGGCCCTGATTTGCATATAGGTGATGGAGTTGTGTTGTGCAGAGCACCCCCAGAACTCCTGGGAAGCTGTGTTGGGATCAAAGGGGGCCGTGTGGGAGCTGTTGTCTGACACCGAGCTCAGGGTGTTGTTTGCATTAAACATTTATCACCCTGCTAGCAGGAAACTCTGGGCTGGGCTGACATGTTTTCATGCAAAATTTATTGGGGAAGATGAGGATTGTAAAGAGAGATCTCCTTGCCTCTCACCAGTGGTGGAGGGGGAATGTTTGACTGGGAGGGAAGATTCCTCTGGCACTCCCGTGTTACACCAGGAGCTGAAGGGTTGGGAAGGCTGATTTTGTCTGAGACCTTTTCCTCAAAATCTTCCTTGACCAAATCCATTTCTCAAGGAGCAGAAATGTGCAAATACAAATTGATGCTCAGGGTGCTACTACACTTGTTTAATTTGCACTGCTCAGGTCTCACAATCAGGAGTTCTTTTAGGTTGCTTGAATTCTCTTTGGAGTTTATTTCAAAGAGGCTTATGAGGAAAATAGAAAGTACTTTGTGTTTGGTTTGTAGCTCAGGAGTCCAAAAGGAAAAGATATTAATTTTGAAAGTTTTGATCCCAAATATAATAAATAAGGATTGCTGCGGGGCTGGAACTCGCATACCATGGTTCAGCCTTGATCATATTCTTGTTGTTGAGTTACAAGAATCCTAGAGGAGGTGCTTCCAGGAAAATTATGGCAGAGCCTTTCCTGAAATGAGCTGCTGGGAATTGTAGAGTCTGTGGCCAGAAATCCCTTTTAAACATGGACATTCCTGGAAAAACTGGAGAACTTTAAAATCTGTTTAAACTTAGCAACTGCATTTTGAACGCTGAAACCAAACTTATTCCATCCTGTGGTGGAAAGGAGTTTGAATGCTTATAGGAGAAATATATTTGCTCTTGTGTCAGAGGGGAAAACCCTCTCCTTAATCCAAGCAGGTTTATTTTCAGTGTCTGGACTAAATTACAAGGACTTTATAAGCGCTGCAGTCAAGCTGTTGAGAAGTTTATTTTGTAGTAAAGTTTTAAGATGCTTGCTAGGACTTCTTGGTTCCAGTGATTTCTTTTGGCAGCTTCTTGAAGAACAGCTTCTAAAATTCGATGACAGGTTGAGCCCTTTATCCAACCTGGGCTACTCCAATGGCAGCCAGGCACTTGCTTGGACTCCAGGTGGGTTTTCCAGGACCTTTAGGATGTATTGCCATGGCAAGGGACTCACTTATCCACAACAAAACCAAAATGCCTCTTCTATCGATTAAGAAATTTATTTATTCTCACTCCTTTTGCCTTCCTTTCTACCTCCAGCCTGCAGGCAGCATCCAAACGTGAGGTGACTGAAGCAGGTGATGAAGAAGTCTGGGTGACCTCAGTGCAGGGAGATTTGATCCCTTGGCCTGTCAGGATCCGTGTTTCCTGGTGGGAAAGGAGCTGAGCAGATTGGATGGGTTCCCATGCAGTGCTCAGGGGAAGGAGCCTGAGAGCATCCAGGGGACACCTGGGCACACTTGAGGTGATGCATGAGGGGGTCTCAGAGCTCTGCTGGTGGTGCTGGGAGGCAGAAGGAAGTAGCTGAGAGGCCAAATGAGGACAGTTTCCTCCCAGTAAGTCAGCCAAAGGCTAATGGGAAGCAGAGGAAGGGTTTTCCCTGAAAAGGTCTGAGACCTCCATATGCCCAGAGCAGCTCGAGGGTCACTTGCCTTTGACCGAGATTTGTTGCTATTGTTGTCTAAGCTGTGTTTGCCTTGTTTTTCTTTTTGTTTGCTAAAAATCCCCTTTTAGGACTCAAAAGACTGGCCATTTATTTAATAGGCAGCAGCATATGGGATGATTTCTTTTCCTTTCACTCCCAGACAGCTGGAAAAGCCAGCGTGGATGGGACACGTGTGTAAGCTGTGGAGCAAAACTGTGCAGGAAGTGCTGGGGAACCACTGGCTCTGGAAAAGAAACAGATTTTAGTTCAGAGAAACCATTTCATTTTCGTTCATTAGGTACTTTTCGTGCTAAGTAT